CCGTATAGTAACCCCTACAGAGGCCCTTTTGGCGCAGAGCTTACAGTTACCTACCGACTGAAACGAAGGAATCAGCGTTGGCCCCAGGAAGCCTCCAAACCGAGATTGGCTTAGGGCTTGAAGGGCTTAGGGTTGAGGGTTAGGCTTCAGGGCTTATAACCCTGATCCCTGAGTGCTATACCTATAAACACCCCAAAAGTACGTTAAATAATGGCCCTTAACACCTATACAAGGCCATTTCTGCATACTTTCGGGGTCAAGGTACGCCCTTAACTTGCAGACTGTCCCCCGCGGATGCGGGCCGCTCGTCACTCCGCGCCGGTGCTGAGAAGAGGGCCCCCCCAAGACCGGCTGGCTGTTCTAGGGGCCAAACTAATACGGTTTAGGGTTTAGGGTTTAGGGTTATTGTTACCCAGAGAACCCAATACCCCTTAATTAAGGAATATAGCCTTAAATTATAGGGGCCTTAATATTATGGTCTTAAGGTATATTCCTTAATTAAGGGGGATTGGGTTCTCTGGGTAATTATCACGACCTCCTTGGCAATAAACAGTAGCGGTTCAGGCCCCGTCACGCACAGAAGAAAGCCTCGACCTAAATGCTTAAACCCATGTAAACATGACAATCCATGTGCTAGACTGGTACTAAGGTTAAGCCAATGGAAATGTTCCGATCTTGGAAAATATTCGAACAGACTTAAAATAGGGGAAAAACCAACATGTCGGTTAGCCAGAGCAGGGACCACAAATGTTACAAACATGGCAACAACAGGACGGACATCCCAGGAAGTGCACTGGAAATCGAAGATGTCCTGTTTTCTTCACTCATGTTCCCTAATTTCTTAGGAAAACGGGAAAAGACACGGGGAACCCCTAGGAATGGAAAATTGGAAAAACAAAGGACAATGAGAACAAACTGGACAAACAGTTGAAACTTGGATTTCGAGAATGCCCTATTTTCCCCTTGCTCCTATTTGTCCTCTACTTTTCCACACCGTGTCGTATTTTTCTGCCACCCATGTCCTGCTTGGTTTTTAGATCGTGTTTTTGATTGCTATTTGTTTCGTATTCTGTTCGTATCTAATTTAGTTTGGCATCTGCCAACCTTTCCATAGCATTCCCCTCTTAGTGCCAAGGCCCACAGCCGTCTCAGGCGACCTCTAGATACCTCCCTCAGCGTGGGTCAATGCCGCGGCTATAGTTGTACCTTGCTCCGTGTATGTATGTGATTTGGAGTTCAGGGCATAGGGGGCTGGGGTTTAGGGCTCAGAGCTTGGAACTGCTTTGCTCGACATGAACTGGAATCCCTGAACCCCCCCTATCCTAAACCCTGAAACCCTATTACACTAAACCCTAAAGCCTCAAACCTCTAAACCCTGAAACGCTACCCTAGGCCCTAAACCTAGAACCCTAATCAAATGCTACGACCACAAGCTAACATGGGCGTGTGCGCAAACACAAGGAACCCAATACTCCGGTAATTCGGGCACATGTCCTCAAAACTCTGGCAAGATAGCATCTGTCATTGATTTACACTGTTTTGCACTGCATGCTACTATCCTGTATCACAGTGCACTACACTCTACTTGGAGGTCTGCAGGTAGGGTCATAGGTATCCAATGTACAACTCTGATTACATCCGAACCATTACATATCGATATCTTTATTTTTGTAATAATATAACACTATTACAAGTATCGTACTCATAAATATTCCTGACGAGAAAACACCCTCTAAAGACCGGGTGAACGCTTGTCGGACCCTCGCAGAGCCTCTCTGCGATCTACGTACGGCTTAGTGGTTACCTATAGCCTCCATTGGAATTCCTTGTTTTGGACAAGGCACCGAGCAGAGGGCGATGTTCTATAGGTATCAGTGAGTGTCTGGGGGTTTGGAGTTTTAGGGTTTAGGGTTCAAGCTTTGCCTGGACGAGGAGAGGATGAGACTCTAAAGCCCTACCTAGAGTCTCCATCGTAGTTCCTTTATTCTGCTATCAAAAGTTATATGATAGGATCCTAATCATGAAATTGGTTAACAACAGACAACGCAATGCCTCTGAACGGCAATCCCTAAATCCTAAACCCCAAACCTAAACCTTAAACCCCAAACCTAAACCCTAAACCCTAAACTGACGAGCAGTTCGAAACCCAGATGCAGAGCCGCGCCGGGCTGCCACTCTGGCCCCTGAATCGGAACGGTCTTTCGTTCGGTTTAGGGGCTCTTGGCTATATCTGCGCTTTAAAACTTTACCATGGTCGACAATCGTTTTTGTGTGTATCTCTTTTGCGGTGTTTTGGATGTAGGAACTTACTTAAGAGTGTATAAGGTTCAATGGGCTAAGGCGGTTTTAGGGCTTACCCATAGTCTCCATTGTACTTCATTTGTTTGGCTCACCAAATTTATGTTATAGGATCCTAACCATAAAATTGGTTAACCAACAAAGGAACTACAATGGAGACTATAGGTAGGGTTTAGGGGTTCAGAGATGAGGATATTTTGGTGGGTGCCGGGTTTAGGCTCGTGGTCTTGAGGTCTTTCTTACCGATTCTAATTAAGACTCAACCGTTTACAGTTTAGGTCAAGGATTTCAAAAGTTTGGGTTTGGGAGATTGGGGTACAGGGCTTTCTGTTCAGAGGGGTTTAGCTGATACATGCTGATACTCAAAATCTGCACAGGGCTGAATCTGGATGCAGGAGGCGGTCAGGGTTGTGGGCAAGCGCTTTGGAGGAACAGCTTGATTCCAAATGCAAATGGTTCGACACAATGCTGTGAACAGTTCAAGCAGGTGCAATTCGGATTAGTCAAAGCTGTTCTTTCTGGTAGCACCTTGGAAACGCTTAGATCCAACTGCAATCCCTGTTTGGGCAAGGGCTTCCCCTTCGCGCGTCTGGCGATTGGCCCGAAGGCAACACGAAAATATCGCTTCCCAATACCTCCTCAGAGATCATGTGCGGGGGAGTGAGAACAAGCTCCCTTTCCAAATCGTTGTCGTTGTCGTTGATGACGCGAATGAGGATCTAACATGGGATAGGAACGGAGTTTTGTGCCAATGCAACGACAGCTTGCGACGTGTGTCTGAACCAAGCTCCTCCGAAGAAGCAAGTGGGGCGACACAGCAAGGGTGAGCTCGTCTCCCCACGTGTCCGGCCGGCTCATACAATCTAAATATGAGTCGCACGAAAGAACTGCGGTATTCACATTGGCCTTGAAGAGGCTGCCAAAAGCTCTGAGGTAGCCAACAACCTGTGTCCAAAAGGCAGACGGGTCCATCGGTATGCCAGCTTTCCCAATCGTTACCCTTCCTCAGGCGCCGTCACGACTGCAGCAACTTGAGAGGGGAGCGGCGGGCTTGTCAGGGCTGATGGGAATTGCTCGACAGGGCCTTCTGATACAAAGAATACCGACATCATCCGGAATAACCCAACTAAAGGATTGACAACATGTCGCCTATGATGGCTAGTGAAGATGTTGACCGCCCATCGTATCCGTTACAGGGACTCGGGGAAATAAGAAATGAAGTTCAGTCTTGTTGGTTACCTTTGCTTAGTTTCCTACGTCGTCTTGTTATGGGATCCTATAGGCCATGCATAGGTTCTCCACAGGTGGTGCCACATCGTAGGGGCAAAGTACAGTAATTACCTCACAGCTGCGAGACCCGGCTATGCCGAAAGAGAAAGGGCCGTGCCCAATCCACCGAAATCAGATCTCTCCCGAAGCAGAGAAAGGACATCAACAAATAACATCATGCTCCCAATACTTACAGTGGAGCCCCAGATCAATGACCCCGCTGCTTTATGGGCATTTCAAGGGCATTCAGATCAGGATCGCTTCTCGAAATCCCTTGTGCAGGAAGGGTGCTTTTCAAGAGAGGGGCCCAGGTTGAAACCCCACATTTACATACATGCGTGCATACATACACACATACACAGACATCCATCCATCCATCCATCCATCCATCCATCCATCCACCGACCTACCTACCTACCTACCTACCTACCTACCGACCTACCTACTACCTACCGACCTACCTACCTACCTACTGACCTATCTACCTACCTACCTATCTACCTGTCTAACTGTCGATCTATCTCTCAACCAATCAATCAATATCTATCTATACCATACTATGTACACATAATCGGGCGAAATTTGCAACACATGGGGAGCGGTAGATATGAACCATGGGAAGAAGCATAAAGGCACGATAGATACGTGCATCTATATGTGTATATGTGATCTATGATGTGTGTATTGACATATGTATGATTATATAGGTATATATGTATACACGTTGTACTTACATATATACATAACGTATACACGTAATTGGGGGTGTAAAAGTTGATATGTACATACATTTTGTTGTGTAGTGGCAGTGCGCTGCAACGGTCTACACAGCGGGATCATTCCTCCACATTTTTGTCCGTGTGCCAAACGTTCAACGTTCTGTAGCATGACTCAAAGTCTGGTATTGTTGTCTGTCCTGTTTCCACATGCTGTTCACAGGTATACAGCCTTACCGAACAAAACAAAATGACCGCACCTCAAGTGCATGTCTTGTTGCACGTGTTTTTTGTTCATCGGGCTAGACTACTAGGACAAAGAAAATGAAGCACCAATTTCCCCAGCTTTCGAAACTTAAACCCGAAAACACCCGGCCCAAAAATGCTAAGATCATGCTGTTGAACTACACTCTAACAAGGTCTCGAATTGACTTTCAACTTGCGCCTTTCATGATGAACTTCACTTCTCAGCGAAACGTGAGAACCATAAGACTTGAGATGCAGAAAGAAAATTGCACGAAGAATCGGCGATTCTCGAAAAACTGGACCGAACCACAGCCATGCCGGGCAGAATTGCATACGCACGCAAGGGCCACCCCTTCGCAGGGGGTGGGGTGTGGGTGGGCCGGAAATAGGTACCGAGACCCATTACGTCGCTATGTTGAGGTAGGGGGTCCGCATGCACTGGGAGGACTCTTCCCAGCTGGATAATTCTAGTCACAACCCTTGGAATAGGTACCCGGACCTATTCCAAGTTTTTGATGGGCACAGACACAAGCACAAGCACTCACAGACACACATTCGCACATATGCACGCAGAGACACAAAGACACAGAAACGCGAAGAGCGAGAGACAGAGAAGAGAGCGAGACAGAGACAAACAGTGGCACCGAAACGAGTCTGAAGTTCCAAATCCCACAGGCCTTGTAGCTGCACGTATGGATGGCTCGCTCTGCCTGTGCAGCTGTCGCCCTTCTTGGTGCCGTCGTAGGACGTGCTGCTATACAAACCGTGCTGTCGCACATACCTCATGCTCGAAGAAGACAGCATGGTGTTTGGTCGTGACGTTCACCTCCTACGGGAACGGAACCCGAATGGGCCAACCATCTTAGCAGATTTGCGCCTAGCTGCTCGAAGGCCAATTCGGAGTTGGCGCCGTCGCAGCCGCCCAGGCCACCACAGTGTTGTGGATTCGCAACGCAATCCTAGCATTCTGTCGTGGTGCAAAAAGCCCGGCGTGCACACTGACAAGGGTGTCGGTATGCACGAACTCCATGATACAGGACAATATTCTGAAAAAATGCTTCTCCGATTGGCAATTTCAGTCTGTCTGCGTGGGGCTTCAGTTGCGGCTGTCGCAAAACGATTTCATTACATTGCCAACATCTGACAACTCGCGATGCTGTTAAGAGTCGCGGTGCATTCCTGCTAGATGCTCGGGGGGTAGCTTCAGAATTATGTTTCTGGTTTCTGGTGTGTGCTTGACTGAGGCTTCGATCTAGGATTGAAAACACTCAACGTAATGGCGAAATCAAAGAAGCTGTCAAACAAGACAAATCTAGGGAATCAAAAGGCCCAACTAGTAAGTAACTACTAGTAGTAATTTAAAAACTTCACCAAATCCAAACAACTTCGGGACATCAAAATGAAAACAACTGCAAGAAACACAAAACAAAACCTAAGGAAACTCTTAACACCAAAAAGTCAACAACACCTCCAAAATATCAAAAAACATAGGAAACTCAATGAAAACAACGCAGGGGAATTTCAAAAAAAGTCAAAATTCCCAGAAATGATGCAAACATAAATCAAATACCGGTGAAAACCCGAGGAAAACACTAAAACACAAACACCTTATGCGGTGAATGCAAAACATACCCCAAAGCCTAGGGAAACCAAACACAAATCAAAGCCAATTCCAAAACACACTGGGGAATTCAATCAAGAACCAAACACCCCAGAGATATCAAGCACAATAACAACCGTAAACAGTTCAATAAAGAAACTAGAGACGTCAAACACGGACCTCAACCACAATCAAAAACCCAAATAAACATAAATCAGAACCCCTATCTAGAAATAGGTCAGTATGCAAGACACAAACATTCAATTCTTAACGGTCTTAACGATAGTGTCCGTTTTTGAACATGGTATACAGCAAGGACACAACACAACGCAAAATGCTTACTTGCCGGCACCGACCTGACTAGACGAATCCGAAACACGTCCAAGCAGCGAGAAGCTGATCGACGGAGAGCTCTCGCGGCAGTCGCTTGCTGGTGATCTCTGCCTGGAAATAGACGAATTCTTCCTACCTCGTACTGGCTCGGGAAGATTATTTCTGCATCCTTCCTGCTGTATAGGATCATCGGTCTCGAGAAAACACTTTTTCCTCCTCGGTCTATAGTGTGGAAGCGAATGTGGTTTAGAGCATGCTGGGGCCGCCGCATGCATTTCTAAAGCCCCGACGGCCGCAAGAGCCCAGCAAGATCCGCAGGTGCCCTGCTCCTTGACAAAGCTGCTGGAGTTCAGCTGACTCCGCCTGAAGTGCATGACGAACACAACAAGTCTCACAGCACAGGGGAGTTTCGGGCATGCCAGCAACATCGTGCCACAAGAAAGCCAGGGATCCGGCCAGTCGACAGACTCAGGTAGACCAGGAGGAAGCGTACCGGAACTGCTTTCAAGCAGCTCTGCCATCCTGGACACTGCATCGCGCCTCGACATGCCTGACCCAGGCCTCAGCGTATTAAAAGAACCAAAGGCCACTTGCACAGGAGCCTCCGCAGTGAGTCTCCAAAGCTAGGCCATCCGAGAGCGCCTACACTTGTTTGCGTCACACCTCGATTCGGACAATGGGTGCGCAAAGTCAAGCTTCCAGGATTCCACGAACGCACGGGGCCAGCAAGTCATAGAATTCAGCGCCGAAAGGCTCGACTGCAGCTGGAGGAAGTTCGTGCTAGCGCGATGCAGCCGTCGATGACCGAGCAAAGATTGAAATTCCTGAATGGCACGCAACCAATGGCAGGCAATCCGCTTGTTGAATCTTGTTGCAGGACTCCCTCTTTGACCACACAACAGCAGCCCGACACCAAACAACCTTTACCCTGCCCGCCCTCAATTCACAACCGCCCATGCTTGCTTGTACATACTGTAAAAACTTGCAATGCCCGTACAGACTCCTCCGGCGTGTAGTCTGCGAATTCGTTGATCTCTGCCTGCAACAGAATGGCACATCTGGTCCCTTGGTGTCTGCCAAACTGCCGACATGCGAATGGTGAGCAAAGTATTTCTTCTCGATTCTAGATTCCAAACCCTGAGGGCCTTCCAACTGCCCTCCTGGCTGTTTATCTGCCGCACAGTGGAGAGGCGCTGGTTGAAGAGCCCTAGCCGCAGCTCATAGTCATCACCCAAGTCGCCGCGTCCTGCCAGTGTGCTTAGCTGCCGTTGCCGTCGCCTTACCCTCCCACTGCCGAGTCCCACCATACTGTGTGCGGAACTCGTCGTAAGAACTTCTGCCGGTGCGCAATTCCAATGCCCACGGCAGGACAGCATTAGCCTGCTTTCAATAGCATTTGCGGGGCGTGTCAGGGATGCAGACTCGAGTACAAACCAAGGAACAAGGACTCCAAGTAGAAGAGTCTGCCATGAGATCAGCATCCCGCTACTCATCATACGTAAGACGTCTTATGGAAACTGGCGTGCGAGGCAGCCGAGAAGGTCGTCAACAAATTCGCAGAACATCTAAACGTCTAAAAGAACATCTCAACCACGTCTGATCGACTGACCTCGCACCTCCCAGAGAGTTGAAAGAGAACTGTGTGGCCGAGTTCGGTATTGAACTCCGGCTCCAAGCTGGTCTGCAGCTGGGCAACGCCTCGTCCTACATCGTCCTACAATCACAAAAGAACCACCAGTCTCCGTTAATCTCTCCTTGCATACACTGCAACACACGCTGCCCAGCCCAGCTGCCCCAACTGGGCTTTCTTTGGGGAACTAAATTTTGGCTGACGGCTTTGGATCACATGGGCAAGACAGCGCGATCAAGCATAAGATAAGCAACTGCGGCTGGCCGGCATCAGTGTTCACGAAGGAGATGCAATCCCTTCTTGCTTCCGGAGTTTCCAGGTTTCATGCAGACTCGTGTTTTTCTCCTGATGTTACACCTTGCTTCTGATGTGGAGACGTGTGAGACCTGAAGCAATGGGCGGATGGCGAACATTGGCATCCAGTGGAAACTGATGGAAACGATGCAGCTGAGGCTTTCAATTCGTGAGCCAGCCAAGGGGCTGTGTTTTGTACACGTGAGACGCAGCCAAAGTGCGTGAAACCTGTCGCACTCGGCCAATGCCCATTATCATACTGGCACCAACAATACTAGACCCGTCACGAAAACAATGGCGAATATGTCGCAGGGCAGCTGGTTCTGCAGGTAAATCCGGCGAAGCTCCTTGTCAGTAGTGCCGGTCACCACATTTAGCTCCAAGTGCGACGCGAAAGAACGAGTTTCACGAAAAACCGACACGACAGGGCTTCTATGCTCCAACCCGCCGGGTTGAGGCTGAAAGGCACCTCGACATGTTCCATGTGGACAAACGTGTGATCCCGTGGCTTGACGACCGAAGCTCCAACTCCGAGTGAGAACCTGTCCATGTTGCAGGTTTGTCCTCATTCAGAGATACAAGTAACTAACATTTGCTTCAAGAACCCCTTGGAATGAGCTGCAAGTTCTGTAGCTTCAGAACACCTCGGGGCTCCTGTCCCCAGGCGCTCTCTTGCAGCGAGGTCCAGAGGTCTTGCTTCGCCAGGTCACCACACACCGGAGGCTGTGGCTCACCTGGACAGGAAGCAGCACCGGAACTACTACCGCACAGTTGCTGCGCCTGCCTACCATCAAAAATCTTAGGCGTTGTGATTCAATGCCACTCTTGTACTTCAAGCTTTGACATCCTGTCATCGGCCTGGCTCCAGCTCGTTCTCGCCTGACCTTTGGCCGGCCATCTGCCTGAATGCGGAAACTTGAGAGGCTTAGCTGGATGTGGTGGTGCTGGAATTGGAGCTGGTGTTGGTGCTGGTGTTCAATCGTTGTTTTGTCGTCGCCGCTGCAGCACTACATAGTGCTCCTGACTCTACTATAGGCACAGGGGCCAACGCTTCTCCGAGCAAGAGCGTGCGACTCTCAGCACTACTGTATCTTGTAGCCGGGCTGCAGATCCCCAAGGTCAAAGTCATCCTCTCCTGTCAAGGAGCTTGAAATGGGACCGTCATAGACCGGGCTGAGTTTCTAGTCCGTTAGGGCAAACAGATGCCTAGCCTTTGGGCAACTTACTCCCATGTTCTCTATCCGTACATCGACCTTATCGAATAACACCGCGCATGTAGTTCAGCGACACTTCACTTCGGATGGGAGAAAGGTTTCCGTCCTGTCTCTCCGACAGAACTCATCCAGCGCCCTGCAAAGACGTTGTCCAGGAATGCCAAGGTGTCTGCGTCCTCTCCGCCTCATGATTGTACTTTGCAGCCCAGCAAAGAATTGCACGGCAGGCATCTGAGCAGCGTCCTCCACTGGGCCCTGCATGCCTCATGGACCTCATCATGATCCTGCGGACAGGCAAACTTGCAGTGAACAACATGTCTCTGCTGTTGTAGTGCCAAGTCTTTTCTTGCGACCTATCTCTGACCACCGAATCAGGTGTCAAGTGAAACGGCACGGCCAGCGCACTTGGCCAAGCAACTCACAGGCTTAAATGCTTCACTCGGGCAGCCATACATTCATCCACAGTCGTGTAGTCGAACTGATTTCCTCGCAACGTCAGAGATGTCAGGCTTTGGTTCGCTGACAGCGCCTTCTCCAGAGCATGCCCACCATCCGCTGTGATTCCATTCCCGTCCAGCTCCAAGCCCTCCAAAGCTGCGTTCGACCTCAGCGCCTCGGCGAAGGCCAGGGCGCCTTTGTCTCGGATGACCTGGCCCTGACCTCCACAGAGGTCCAGGGTGCCTGTCGAACGCGCAAAACCCCTTGGGGAAGGAGGGTGGGACATGATGGCACGGTTTACTACAAGTACTACCAGCAACAACACCGCTGTCACGGCAACTGCCACTACCAGCATCACTCGATAACACGGCCACCATACCGGCGACTCTGCAGCTTAACCACGGTTCACCTGTTCTTGACATTTTGGATCACGCTTGGATGAACATCCGCTAAGGCAGGGTTCAGCGATTCAGCAACTCTTCTAATTGGTCCTTCCTCTGTTAGGCGAGTTTGTTTTTTGTCCCGCAGCATTGTTCCTAGTCATAGTTCTGCTCCAGGGATTTTCCCACAGAATTGCGAGCCAGGGTGCGCAGTGAGCTGTTGCTTGACAGCATACCTGCAAGGGCCACGGCGCCGTCGTCACCAATGAGATTTTCTGCAAGGCCCAAATGTGTCAAAGTAGTATTTCTCTGCAAGCCCTTTGCCAGGGCCACCGCACCAAAGTCGTGAATCCGATTGCCATACAGCTCCAAAGAGCCCAGAGGAGCCCAATGAAGTAGTGGCACCAAGGACTTGGCACCTGCCACCCGCAGATCATTCGCCGACAGATCCAAATGCAAGGAGCTTGCGCGACCACCGCCTCCACACAGAGTTCTGGACAAGAACTCCCCCCCCTCCTCCTGCATGAAGTTCTCCGCGAGGCTCACAGAAACTAAAGACTCCATTTCGACGAATTGAAGCATCAGCTCTGCGACACACAGCGCGGCCCGTGGCCCAAGCAAGTTGTCAGCCAAACTCAACTCTCGCAGCTTCAGTTCCCCACGTCCTCCCTGCCGTAAGCCTGCGACCAGCACCTCGGCGCCGCCGACCTCCAGCTGGTTGTGCGCCAGGCTCAGGATCTGCAGAGATGTGAGTGCAGGAAGTGCTTTTGCCAGAACGGCAGCGGCCTCAACGTCAAGTCGACACTCCTCCAATTTTAGGTGCTGCACTTTCGGTGCGGAGGAAAGGGCCTGGGCCAGCTGATGAACGGCAGCTCCGCTCAGCTCGTTGCTGCTTAGATCTACTTCTGAGGCTCCTTGCCGGGCCTTGCCCAGCTCACGTTCCAAGTCCGGGGCCGCATCTCCAGCCTCTCGTCTCCTGGCCTCCTCGAGAGCTTCGAGAGTTCGCGGACAGCAGAACCCAGCAGTTGGGCGACATCCAACTTTGTGAATTGGCCAATGCCGGCGTTGACAGTCCGAGGAACAGTAGGCAGCAGCGCCACAGCGCCCGCAACGCTTGGTGCCTTCAGCATCGCAGCCATCTGCCGCGCACGACATTCAGGACTGCTCGCCACTCCGGTACGGCTGTGGCTCGGTGGCTCGTATAGGTGGAGGTGTCCTTTGAAGCACAGCGAGGGGGTGGTCGCCAGGTCCATCTCCGGAAACGCATTGTGGCGTTCGAGCCGGCAGGAGCACAGACAGGACAGCTTCGCTTGTGAGAGTGTGAACGACTCCAAGCTACTGAAGTTTGGCGGCCTGTCCTCACCACTGACAGCAGTGGCACCGAGAGCAGCATGCCAGGAACTCCCCAGACCTGCAAAAGAGTTCAGCATGGTCTACAGTCTACACAACCCACTGAGGCCTGGAGGGACAATGCCCTCTTGCGGACACAACATTGTAAAGAGTTGACAGGAAAGCAAGCCAAGCAGCTTGGTAGAAGAACCAAATTCCGAGGATAACAATCACCTGAAGCTGGCTTTGATTTGGCCAGCAGGTGGTCAGGCGGTGAGGGGAAGGAATGTTTAGGCCTCCTGGACTTGTTGTCACTTGCCCTGTCAAAGCAAAGTTCGGTCGAAGGGAGCGGACTGTACGCGTAACGCCGCAACGTGCTGCCAGTTTCAATCTGAGCGCAGAGTGAATCTCCACAGAGATGCCAAAGAACACAGGCTCTATCCTTGGCATAGAATGAGAGCACGGCATAGCACAGCGAGAGAGCTACGCTGCTATACTGCACCGCCACAAACACGGAGAAGCCCAAGGATCACGAAGTCGATGAAGAAGTGCATGATCGCTTGAAGGACAAAGGCCAGCAAAACCTCAAAACACGAAAACTCTTCGACTCTTCTGAGCTCAGTTGTTTGGACAAAAGCGGTGCCTGGGCCGCCCCGGCCTGCGTGGGAGTTTTCCTCACATCGATGATGGCCAAAATGCAGGGCAGCACGGAGGCTGCAGGAGAGCCGATGCCTCTCTACAGGATGCGCATCGAACCAGTTCTCTTTCAAGCATGGGCTCTTTCAAGCATGGCGGAGCCTGGCAAGAAGTTGGCCAGGAAGGACAGCAAGCCGAAAGCAGCTGGGAGGTCCAGGCCAATAGCCCAGAGCAAGATTCCTGGGACCCAGCATGGGGGTTTGCGGCACCCACTTCTGCAAAGTGGCTTGAACTTTGATCAGGTAGGCTTCCAATCGATAGCCCAGTGAAGGCTGAAGTGAGACACTTCACCTTGAGATATCTGCTGGTGGAGTTGAAGACCTGAGCGTGAGACACCCTGACATCTTGTCATCTTGTGGCCGAACATCTGAATCCCTGCGAGGGCCTCCGCAGCAACTGCACTGCCGTCCACCTTGACGGGACTCCAAAGCATATAAATCAGGAAGATGAATGTAACTACCTCAGCTGTGCCACTGAAGCAGGCGACATGCGACATGCACCACTCCCAACGTTTGCCGCTCGATCAAAGCTCCAGCCGGGGTGCTGCCTGTACTGCAGTGTAGATGACACTCTGGGTCACGACGCTCCCTATGTGCTCGACCTCCACGGCTTCACGGCTTCTCAGGTCTTCCGACTGTGCTGCCAGAACATCCCCAGACCTCGACCACAAGCTCGTCGAGGAGCTCCCCGTAGTCAAGTGAGCTGATGTGTAGGTCATGGATGTACGTTTGCACCCACCTGCCGGGCTGCTCGGGTCAAGGCGGCCCCTCTGCTCAAAAGGGGCATGCCCCAAGGCCCGGCCCCTTGAGGCGCTCCGCACCCTGCTTGTAGAAGTCCAAGTTGGAGGAGATCCTGGGTCGCAGCGCGCGCGCGGGCACGCGCCCGGGCCATCTCGGGCGGTTGATGATGACTTCACTCGTGGTTGTGATATCGATCATGATCGTCATTCTTGCTGTCGACACGAGAAGAAGAAACATCCCATTCGATAGATTTTGTCTCGGCCTGGAAGACGACTGTAAACATTGTCATCCGCTGGGACTGCTGAAGCTGTGTTGCTTCTATGCGATGGTTCGACAACGATGCGAGGATGCGAACAGAGTCGAAGATATGCGAAGTTGTGGCAGTTGTGAAATCGCATTCGTCGTCTGCGGCGCAGGCGGTAGGGGTGGAGGTGGTGGCGGTGGTGGTGGGCCAGTGCTGGGTGGTGGTGGGTGGTGGTGGGCGGCGGTGGGTTGCCGTGGGTTGCGGTGGGTTGTGGTGGGTTGTGTGGGTGCTGCTCCTGCTGCTGTTGGGGTGCGAAGGTGGTGGTCACGATAGGGCTGTGGCATAGTCGTCGTGGGATTGTGGCAGGAGTAGCAATAGAAGCTGCAAATCAGAAACAGGAGTAGCTTAGCAGTGGTTGTTCTTATCTGTCGTGGCAGCTGCCGTGCTTGCAAATGGACAACATACACCGGACATGTTGAGCGGAGGATGCTGAATGCTCAGCCTGCTGCACGGCCCCCGCGCGAAAGAAGACTCTGGCAATCATCCAGAGCACACGCCCGCTCATGAGCAAGCAAAAGGCTATAGAAATGGTCACAAGACATCCTTGGCTCAGCGGGACTCACCGCCTAGCTTGGCTCTGGCGGGCCATTGCTTTCAAAGGAGCTCTTAAGACAGGGAACAGGTTTTGCAGGCCGCGGCACATCCTCTGCTACACATCGACAATCTGCAGTCAACCCTTTGGGACGGGGCCACTCACGCACTCGGAATCTCTTAATGGTTGACACAGGATACATAGGCTGACAGATGAACTGGATTCTGCAAAGCTGCCTCCGTTGTGGAATCGTCTGGGAGACTGCCGTAGACTGGCGTCGTTTCATCAACACTCGGCAGGCGTCCATCTGGCCAAGGTCCAGTAAGAAAGGATGGACAGGGGCAAATGATGCGCGGTCTTAGAGTCTTCCACCTGCCTGCAAAGCCATGCATTGACATGTTGTCGACGCAGAAGTCCATCCGCAGGGCCGTGAGAATACCTTACATCAACGGATCCACGACAACTCCCAAATCCGCACGGAAGGAAGCGCCCTTTCTGCAGGCAGGCGACCAACTGCGAGATTAGAGAAAACTTGCAAGACAAACTTTTTCATCGGCTCCAAGACAATCACGACAAGCATAGCAAAGATGAATGGGAGCAGCACTTCGGCGAAAGTTATAAGGAGCTGGATAGTCAAGTAACCTTTGTTGGCTTCGCATCTTCTGCTGTTGAAAACTGACTAAAACGATAGATTGCGGCCACCAAGAACGCGAGAGCCTGGAACCACACGTAGCTTGCTGCATGATGCTGCCATGCCGGGACACAAGCAGTCACGGATACAGCAAACTTCACGAGGTACAACCCACGAATCTGGGAAGATGCCGTCTTGAAGTGTGAGCTGCGTGTCGGACCTTGGGTAGCCGCTACCTCATACAACGGCAATGTTTTAGATCACTCGGCAGAGCCAGCCTGGATCAGCGTGCCGGAAGTCGCCCAAGCCATCCCTTCCACGGGATCGCAGACCCTCACGCTGCCTTGGAAAGACAGCCAGAAAAAAACTTGTGAAAATCTTGCCGGTAAACGGGCGTTGCATGCCCGACGAGTGGCAGTCCATAGGCGCTCTCTGTAAGGGCACGAAATCGAAGCTCCTTGTCGCCGCTTGGCTGGGCCTGCACCACCAGCACACAACACATACTGACTCCAGGGTGCGGACGACTTCCAGATCAAACCTTCTTCTGTCCTAAACCCAACCTGCGAGGCTTCCGTCTCCACAACATCTCCATGTCCCGTGGAAGGGCTTTGGACAGAAGGGAAGCGAACCGCTGAGCTGTCACCTCGCGAGCTGGTACAAGCCACAGGCTCAATGATCAGTGCAGTAGCAGGAGCAGGAGCAACAGCAGCAGGAGTCGCCGTGTCCGTCGTCGTCGTAGTGGCAACAGTCTTTTAGTGGCAGTGGTAGTGGTAGTGGTAGTAATCGTGGTAGTGGTAGTGGTAGTGGCAGCAGTCGTCGTAGTAGTAGTAGTAGTAGTAGTAGTAGTATTAGTAGTAGTAGTATTAGTATTAGTAGTCGTCGTCGTCGTTGTCGTAGCAGTGGTAGTGGTGGTGGCGGTGGTGGTAGTAGTAGTAGTAGTAGTAGTAGCAGTAGCAGTGGTAGTGTAAAGTAATAGTGGTAGTAGTGGTAGTGGTAGCGGTAGTAGTAGTAGCAGCAGCAGCAGCAGGAGTAGTAGTAGTAGTAGTAGTAGTCGTAGTAGCAGTAGTTTTGTCACCCACTTGGCACGACTGAGTCAGCACTGCGGGGCCACAACGGTCAGGAGGTAGACAAGGAGGCGACCCCACCGAAAGAGAAAGATACCCAGACGAGTACATAAGACCTAAAGAACGCCAGACCCATTTCATCGCCTCCTGTGGAAAAGCGCACACGCTCGGTTCATGTCACAGTATGTCGAGCGTATCCCTCGGGCAAGGGCTCAGTAAACAACTACGACAGGTGCACTATCTGCGAGACCATAAAATCCCAACGAGACAAACCCAGCTATTCCACCACGATTCCGAGAAACTCAACCTCCCCGCACCTGTCATGTTTATCGGGTTGCTCTGTAGGGTGCACTCTTTCTGCATCCGAACCCAGGGACTCCTATACCTGTACATGGACTTGTTGGCTGCAGCGTGTCGTGCGAATCAACAACCAAGCATCCAAAAACCCTTTTACAGGCTCACCACAGCTAAACCACAACCCAGCACATCTGCCATCACTCAAGGTCCTGACTTACAAACGTCATCGCAACTTCAATATCTGTCCAAACGAGGCCCTAGACTGCAGAAGTTCAGGCAAACAACCAGGCTCCGAGCAACCCTTTAAAGGCTGACCACAGCTAAACCGCAACCCGGCGTCTCTGCAATCACTCAAGGCACATAACTCTGAAAAACCATCAAACAGTGCTGCAAGGTTAAGGTGACAGCTCAGCTTGCAAACTAATTAGGAGCAGTCAAGGCATCAGTTCAAAGTTCACAGCTCAGGCTCAAGGGAAGAAGGCGAATGTAGATGTGTTGCAGCAGAGACCAGTACTCAGGTTCATAGTGTCATTGTGCCCGATCTCCTGTCGACATGTGCTGGTACGAAGCCGCCTCCATCGTGCAGGCATGAACGTCACATCAAAGTCTCATTGAATTCATTGAATTCCTGGCAGCTCGAAGAAACCACGTTCCGCCAAACAGCCACATGAGACATCGCCATGTGGAGGCAGGCATGCGGTGACTATGCAGGTTCTCCCGCAGTGTGTGGCAACCGACTCAGGGGCGAGCTATCCCCAGTCAATCATACAGTCCACTGATCCGCGCAGGGTGTAGCATGATCTCCCAACAAGGGAAGTGCACCCGGTTCTGTTGCCACGTGATGCACTCTTGCCCCATGTTTATGCGGACCTCCCAGTCCTGAATCTTCTCCCTAACATATTCCAGATCAACTTGCCAGAAACGGTCTTCGCAGGGTCGTTGTGTCCGGAGTGGTAGGGTGACCCTTTCCAAGCTCTCAGAGTAGAATCCCATTTCAAAAGATATTACCTAGTGCCATGCCCCGGCTCTCCTCATCTGTCTCAGGTAGTTGTACAAGAGCACCGCAAGGAAATATGCCGTGGGCTGTGGCACCCTGTCAAGAGTCTGTTGTACCTCCTGAGCATATAAAGGCTCGAACGGTCGCAAGTGCAGCGCCCTGGGCACTGCGAAAATTTCCATGTTTGTAGCGGGTTTCCACTCACGCAGACACTTTGCAGCCAGTCACCACTTGTCACAGATCACTCCCGTTCCATGGCGATCTACTTCGGCAGTTACGTGAGGCTACACGAGGGGTAGTAGCAGTAGTAGTAGTAGTAGTAGTAGTAGTAGGAGTAGTAGTAGTAGGAGTAGTAGTAGTGGTAGTAGAAGAAGTAGTAGGAGCAGTAGTAGTAGTAGTAGCAGTAGTAGTAGTAGTAGTAGTATAGAGTAGTTGTAGCAGCAGCAGCAGTTGTTGTTCTAGTAGTAGTAGCAGTAGTAGTAGTAGTAGTAGTAGCAGTAGTAGGAGTAGTAGTAGTAGTAGTAGAGTAGTTGTAGCAGCAGCAGCAGTTGTTGTTCTAGTAGTGGTAGTAGTAGTAGTAGTAGCAGTAGTAGTAGTAGTAGTAATAGTAGTAGAGTAGTAGTAGTAGTAGTAGTAGTAGTAGAGTAGTAGTAGTAGTAGTAGTAGTAGCAGCAGCAGCAGCACCAGCAATAATATTGATAGGAATAGTACTAGTTGCAATAGTGATTCGTAGAAGCATTAGTATTCGCATTTGTATTTAGATTTGTAACAGAAGAAGTAGTAGAAGATGAAGAAGTAGCAGTAGCAGCAGCAGCAGCAGCAGGAGTTTTGTGTAACCCAGTAGCAGGTAGCAGGTGGGAAGGGTGTGTGGCTGCTATCGCACCGCCCTGCACCAGCAACAGCAATACCGAGCAATACTGTACCGCATACAATCGCTAACAA